TTATAAATTAAATATGGTCACATTTTGGAAAAAAAAAGGCAAATTAGAGATTGAATAATGTAGGGAAAAAGTAGTTTTTTTTGTGAGAAAATGTTCTTTAAACTGAGAATCATGTTTGGTTTAGAAGCTGTGCAGGAACAAGTCTTTAACTCTGCTGGTTTTGACTCGATGGGAGCTCTGGGTGTCGTCTTCCACCTTTAATGTCTTAGTTTTTGTTGCCACTCAGCAGCGTGCATTCCAAACAAAGACCAACCATGTATGATACCAACAAACCATGAGCTGCCAGTCGCTTCGCTCCTAATCGTTGCAGTGTTTAGTGCTGTTTGTAAAGAAATAAAAATGTGATGTTTTAAATTATGACAGATTGTTGCCGAGCTGCAACTCTCTGTGTGGGGGGGTTGAAGTGAACGCAGGTTGAACTCGGTCTTAAAGTGCGTGCTCTGTGTTTATTCGATGGTAAATAGTTGTGTGTTATTTGCAAATTGTTTGGTGTTTTTCTGTAAAACCTGCACTATGTCTTACATAACGAGGACAACRAAGGTCCTGCTTGTTTCTGTTGTTTTAGTTTGTCTCTGAACGATCACGGCCTCTGTTCTTTAAAACTGGAATGTTGTACATTTAGTGCCTTTTTACATTTCATCAGCTAACTTAAACATCAGCTCCCAACAGAAAAGATAAGATTCCTTTATTTTACTTTTATTGTACGTATTTTTTTACACATAATATCACCTCTGTATCCACTGTTCAAATTTTATATAAAACTTACTTCTGGCCATTATTTCAAATGTTTCTTCTGATTATTGTGTTTTATTTGACTCTGCTTGTCCACTTTTCGTGTCCACATGTATGTCCTCTCTGTTTTTTTTTTTTTTATTTCCTCATGTATGTCCTTTTGTATGTCTCGTTTTTTGAGAGTCCATTTTGTCTCCTTGCATTTCCTATTCTCTGAGTCCATTGTGTTTTTTTCCTGTTGGTCATTCTGCACTTTGTTTTCAGTTATTTTAACAAAACAATTTATGAAATATAAAAAAATGTAAATTTTAAATAAATAGCTGCCCGAGAGGAAATCAGCTGCGGTTCTTGGGTGTAACCACCAGAGGGTGACATTAATTTTAAACCGAATCAGGTGTAGTTTCCGTGTTTGACCACAGGAGGGCGACGTTAAATATTAAGCTGAATCAGGTGTAGTTTCCGTGTTCGACCACAGGAGGGCGACGTTAAATATTAAGCTGAATCAGGTGTAGTTTCCGTGTTCGACCACAGGAGGGCGACGTTAAATATTAAGCTGAATCAGGTGTAGTTTCCGTGTTCGACCACAGGAGGGCGACGTTAAATATTAAGCTGAATCAGGTGTAGTTTCCGTGTTCGACCACAGGAGGGCGACGTTAAATATTAAGCTGAATCAGGTGTAGTTTCCGTGTTCGACCACAGGAGGGCGACGTTAAATATTAAGCTGAATCAGGTGTAGTTTCCGTGTTCGACCACAGGAGGGCGACGTTAAATATTAAGCT